AACCACTTTATTCCCAAATACGCCTTGGAGGTCTCTTTGCTTTCGTTGCTGCTATGCACAGTCAGGTGTGTGATGTTACTAATAAGTTTATTTTTCTCTCTCATATGACGGGTTTCCTCTGAATTTCTTTTGCTAATTTGAAGCTTTTCTGTAGCACTGTGGTGTGCCTTGGCCACACACATGGCATACTGATGGGCTCTTAAAAAAAAAAAAAAGAATGAATTGCAACCTAGATTTACAGGACGGCTTGCTTTTCATAAGGACTAGAATATTGAAGACTTCTGGCATAAAGATGTTTAATGGTTTTACACAATTAGTGCCAAATCAGGCCCTTGTAATAGTTTGGAATATAATATTGATGAAGAACTATGCTTGCTTTGCACTTAGTGATGGTCTTTTCTTTGCTATTAGTCATATTTATTTAAGCATGTACTGTGTGAATTTTGAAACAGATTTGATCATGGACTTGTATCAAAATTGGGGCAGTAATTTGAGATGGTCTGGTCCCTGTAGGACATTGATTTTAGTGGGCTTGTCTCCTGCCAGGTAGACCGAAAGCCATGAACAGAGGTGCTTTCCGTGGCACTTCACTGGGTAGTTCTCTCGTTAACAACGAGTTAAGACCAGGGCATGGGGGGAGGAATCTCCAATTTATCTTGGTGTGTAAAATCTTTTAATTCCAGCCAACTGGGCTTTAACTTTTCATCTGTTTTCCAACTGTCCGTGGACATACTGCTTTAAGTTAGGACGAATCTGTTTCAAGAGACAGATTTTCCATTCCTGTTTGAGAGGGAAGAAGTGGTGTGTTGGTTCTCATGTCCCTAGGTGATGATGTCTGACTGTCAATTCTGCTAGCTAGTCAAAAAATTACTCCTTTCAACCAATTAAGTTTAGAAGTAGGGGAAGATAATAGGCAAATGCCCTTTTTAACAGATCTGTATTAACTGAAAGCTAACCTTTGCTCTACTAGCTTCATGGTGAAGCATGGGCTTAATTGACAAAAAGGACAAACTAGCTGAGGGGTGAACAGTAATTTCTCCTGAAGATCCTTATTTTCTTCAGGTGGTGGAAGTCACTCCTGCCTTGGGGATGACTTGCCTTTTCACTTAGGCTCCTGTTTAAAACTTGTCGGACTCCAGCACAGGCATGCTGATTGAACTGTTTGGTTTGGGTATCACTGTATGGTGCCTGGAGATTGCTCAGGTACTGGGCTGCATCAGGAGGTATTTTTAACAAGGTGTTTTACCAATCATAGCCAGAAACTGAGGCCTTGGAAGGCAGTGCCAGTGGGTGTAGAGCTGTGCATTCTCTATTGATCCCATCTACTTTAACCCCTTAATCCATTTGAATCCATTACCAGATCCCATATTACAAAAATAGCTTAATTACAGTATTTCTTCTTGGAAGCTGGGAGTCTGACCAAGCTGTGAAACTTTGGTCATGTTTGGGTGGGTTTTTTTTGTTCTGTACATTATTTGCCAAGCTGCAAAACCCTCTAAGACACCTGAGTAATGTTGTACTTGCTTTTTCTTGGTGTCAGAGAGCAGTGGTTTTGTCGTAGCTTGCCTTTCAGCCCCATGAACCCAGCTGTCTGGGAAAGACGACAAATGCTTTGGGATTATCAGTTTTGTCACTTTTATACCCAGGAGCACAAGATTTTCATGCACAAACTTGCTTATTGCTAGCAAATAACGCAGGTTTTTATAGCTAGTGAATCCTTTTAGGCCTTTCATCTCCTGACTTCTGTGATTCCAAGTGGATTTTGTACTGACAGTTGGGATGGACAGTCTTCCTCAATTTCTTATTTTTGTGCTCTATGTTAGAGAGGGTATACAGCAGTGGTGCACTATACCTGCCTCTCACATGATTGCTTACCAAACAGAACTAGCGTTTTCTGTTCCATGAAAAGCTTGTATTTCAGCTGTTTGCTATTTTTCTGGGCTCTTATGTATTGTCTTTTTTTTTTTAAACGGAGAACAACATGACAGAAACATGTCTGTTTTCTTAGCCCAAGATGGCTTGATTCCCTACTATGTTTATTTTCCTATCCCACTCCTTTTATGGCTCTGTTTTCATTAGACTTCCTCAGTGAGGTGTAGCAGGTGTGTAGCTTACTGCATGTTTACTTTCTTGCCCACGAGCTTTGAGGGCATATTGGAGATTAGTAATGCCCGTGATTAAGGTGATTATGAGCTTGCAGATTCCCAGCTCGCAGGCACTGCGATGAGTACGTTCAGTCCTGTGTGATTGTAGTAAGATTCTTGTGTGTGCTTTTTGCCCTGTAGTAAAAGTGGGTAATTAAACAACTGCGTTTCTTAGAACAAGCTGTTGGAAGCAGCAGTGGGAAAATAAACTGGAAACTAAATGGTGTGGCAGACAGAATATGTTGCACAGTTATTTCTGTGGTGGTGAACTGGCTACTTTTGTTCCAAAAAATGTGTTTGGAACTTGTCTCAAATGAGCTTATGGATGTTCAGAAAGGTTGTGAGCAAATATTTGTCAAGGATATTTGACTATTACTTTCTATATTTTTTATTTTATTTTTTTAAACCCCAAGATCCTATAGGTAGATTTGGGGCTTTTTAAAAGTTTTTCATAGGTTTGAATGAAAAATATGTTGCACCGAACTCTTTAATGCTGTTTGTGTGTATTAGTTTCGCAAAGAAAAAAGCGGGAGCTCTGGAGGGAAGAGGAAGTGGATCTGATTTACAGTAGGACAAATCAGAGTAGAAGCAAAAGCCAGTTGTGTGCACTATGGCTCAGTGCAAACACAGAACAAATCACTGGTAGCCTGCTGGTTTTTCACCCAGAGCAGCCCGTACGCCGGGCCCCGTGGAGTACGTTGCTGCACGCTGTGTGTGGGTGCAGTCACGCTGCTGTCGGGAGCCTTGGTTGCCTCTGCGCTGAGGTGTTACTCAAGCACTGAGCTTGGGTTACCCGCTTGAGGCAGAGCTGCAGTTCCGTTCTGCTGGTTTTTCTTCTGTAGCGCTTAAAGTCTTTACATGTAACGTGACGCACATGGTTAACGGGCAGGCTTCAGGGTTTACTTCCACTACCTGATTTTTGACCTGTCCTTTCCTTGCTTATGAGAATTCTTAGGAATTGTCTGCCTTCCCCATGGAGGTACCTCACACTGTAACCTCTGAGGAAGAGATTTCCCAGCCTCAGCCAGTGAGCGGGGATAACAGCAGTTGACTGTAAACCTACCAGAATCTGTGGTCAAATGTATTCTGCAAACTTGCCCAGGCACAGAGGATGGCTTTCCTAGTATGCTCTTGGCACGTGGGCTGTTATCCCTCTTCAGGCTCCAAGCACAGCGTCAGTCTGTCTGGCCACGGACATCCGAGGTGTCAGCTGCTGTCCTGCTACGTGGGGATGATTATGGATGCAGATGTGTGCCTGTGGTAGAACAGCTGTGTTAGGCATGTACAGGGTTAGGAACGATGGTGTTGCTCCAACAGCCGTCATAGGCAGAGTGGATGTGGCAGATTTGCATAGTAATTTGTTTTGAAGTGCAGTTGGTGACATGGACTGAAGTATGACTTGCTGTGATTTGTGATCAATTTGCTTGCTGTAATTCTGTACAGAAGCAGAATCTTAGAAGGTTTATTCTAAGAAAGGCTCTGGCCTGGGGGAAGGCAAGTTCTGCATGAAATCACAGGATTTCAAGAACTTGGTTTTTTCCTCCTCTGGTTACACAGAGGTAATTGCTGGAGGCATCAGTTCTTTGAACATTCAGCTTTACAAAAATTGCCATGGCAGGCTTTGATAGCGGACGGGACTGCTTTCTTAGCTCTCCAACATAGAGCTGGACGTTAGCGATGGCCTTTGATCCTTCCACAAAGACTTCATTCTCTTCTGTTGTTGATGAAGTAGCAGTATTCTATATCTCACTGTAACAATTCTGATGGACGTCAAGGTCCTGTCTTCAATTAAGACAGGCGGAGGTGGGTTAAAAATCAAAAGGTTTAGTCCAAGAGCATACTGCCAGTGTGTTACCCAACCCTGTCTTTTCGAGTATATTTGACCACAAGTTTATGAAGTAGGACTTTCTGTATTGGCTGGTAAATACTAGGATGCTCATGTCTGGTTTGTTTGGCTTTGAGATAACCTAAAGCAGGAGATGGATCATAGAACCTGATGGCCTGTTGCAGATAGCATGGTTTAACGTTTGTGTTCAGGGCTCGCTTGCTGTAGTGCTAATAGCCATGTTATTCTGTTGTCCTTTTTCAAGACGTGCCCTGACACATTTAGGCAAATAGTTGAGGCTTGAGTGTTTTGGTGTCCAGCTTGTTTGCTTCTAACCAAAGCTTTGAGGATGTAGCTGTGTCGGGAATTATTCTGAGAAGTCTCTAAAGAATTTTCACTACTGTTCTTCAACTGCAAGAGGAAATTGCGCTCCCTCCAACTTCATGAGAACTTAATTACCATTTCCTTCGGAAGAACACCTGTAGGGCTGTGAATGAGTGAGCTAGAACAAACCAAAACTTCCGTGATATTCCTCCACCTCCCTGGTTCCTCATGTTCGGCTTCTATTGCAAAGCCCTACCTAGCCTTTCTTCATTTTAATGTACTTCAAAGAAACAACCTTTTCGAGCCTGCTGTCCATTAATAAAGCAGCCAGATTGGGTTGTCTAGCTTGCACCAGAGGTATTCTCATAAAGGATCTGGTAGGTTTTCCCCTGTTATCATAGAAGAAGAGCCACTGTGCCTTTGATTATTCCAGTCTCTGAACCAAAAAAAATGGGGAAATATCAACTGGGGGAGGAGTTAAATCTTTCTCCCAGTCCCTTACACTTGGTTTAAAACATGCCAGCCTCTCTGAGTTAATTCATCAATCATATAAACATTGACCACAATTTTTGGGTAGGGAAATTATTAAATGCTTAGTTTAAAAAGTAAGAACAGAATCCCATACCCCACCAAAGAAGGACATCTGTTTCTAACTTCAGCTTTTTATTTTTTTATCTTTCATTTTTTTTTGTTGGTAAATCTCCCAGACAACAGCAGTTCTGTAGAGAGTTTAAATATGAAGGAATGGCAGGACGGGCTAAGGGCACTTCTACCGAACATTAACATCAACTTTGGTGGACTGCCCAATGCTTCTTCCCCCTCCAACGCCAACCACAGTGTACCAACGTCCAACACTGCCACCACCGACAGCCTGAATTGGGACAGCCCTGGCAGCTGGATGGACCCCGCAATCATCACAGGTAACCGTTTCTCACTCCTTCAGCTCCGCTGGCAAACCATCCAATGGGTATTTGGCACAAACTGATTTACACCTGGAAAAAAAGAAAAAAGAAAAAGTCAGTATGCGGTGGTCTCTTCCAGCTTCCATCCACAAAATCTCAAGGGTCCAGGAATTTCTGTGGAACCGCTAGGTATAACGAAGCGTCACGTAGGCCTTTGCAATGCATGCCCGGGACCGTTTGCAGGCAGTTAGGCGGATCAGCGCTTATCCGTAGGGTTAGCGTAGGTGTCCCTTCTGCTGGCTGGCATGTCCGGTATGTGTGCGCTGGTCCTGAGGCACGGAAGGCATTCACTGGACGTTGTTACTTAAAAAGGGACATACTCCACTTGTTTATAAAGCTCTCTTTTATAAGGCTGTCTGGTTGTGTTTCCCTGTCGGAGAGGCTGAAGCATGATGCACGTAGGCAGAGTAGGAGGCGAAGCATGCAGCGTACTGGTGGTGTGGTGTGGTAAGGTCACCTCAGCAGGGATGCAGTCCTTGCGTGCAGGATGCTCGATGGAAGATGTGTGTGTTACGAAGAAGCGCTCTGAGGGGGAACTTTCTCTTAACTGGATTTAATGTTAAATGTCTTGTGGGCAGGGCTGTTGTATACAACAATGTAAAATGCATTCTCTGTACAAACTAATCATGTTTTCTCACTGTTGCTTTTTGTTAGGTTAAATTGACCTCCTTTGTGCTCAGCTTATTGCTTCTGCTCTGACTTGCCTGTATCCCTGTTTTTTTTCTTCTCTTCATAGGTATCCCAGCCTCCACAGGAAACAGTTTAGACACCCTTCAAGATGACAATCCTCCACATTGGCTAAAATCTCTTCAGGCCCTCACAGAGGTGGACGGCCCCAGTGCAGCACCATCACAGACGCACCACAGTAACCCCTTCAGCACACAGATTCCTCTGCACAGAGCCAGTTGGAATCCCTACTCTCCTCCTTCAAACCCCACCAGCTTCCATTCCCCGCCCCCAGGCTTTCAGACAGCCTTCAGACCCCCCAGTAAAACCCCCACAGATCTACTACAGAGCTCAGCGCTGGATCGTCACTAGGGAAGGAGGAAAAAGAAGAAAAAGAAAAAAAAAAAAATAAAACCCAAAACATTAGAAATGCAGGAAGTGTCCCACCCTGACTCCTCCCCACGCCCACCTACTGTTCCCTGTCATATCTTTTTTTCTGAAGAATCCAGTTCCTGATCAAACCTCCCCCCCAAATGCAATGCCATCACAGGGTCACGACCATATCTTTTTGTTAAGTTTCCGCTGAGCCAGTGTTTAAAATACACTGTTTGAAATATTTTCTAACCATTCTAAGGAAAAAAAAAAAAGAGAGAGAGAAATCAAAATGCAGTCTCAATGCTTAAGGAGAGTATTACTGTCTTAGTCTTTTGCACATGAGTATTTGCCTAGTGGAAAAATGTCAGTCTGCAGCAGGGGAAAAATTGCAATGCAGAATCAAATGCAGAAACATGGAAAAGGTATTTAATTTAAATGAAGTTACTAAACCTGTGGGGCAAGCAGTGGCCCAGCATTTATTTTGCATTCAGTGTGGCACTACGCAGGGAAATTGCTATGTTGGTTTTTTTTTTTGAGAGGGATTTTATTGTCAGCCAGTAAGAGTTTGACATGAAGTGTGTTGAAAGACAAAACACTTATAGCTATGAGTAACTGGCATGTTGCTGAAGAGTGGTTTAAAGAGGGGAGAATAAGATTTTTTTCTTTAATTTTGGCTTTAGATTTAAAGTAAACTTTAATGTTTTAAAAGTATTCACAGATTTAATACCTAGCGTATACATAATATAATTATAAGCAGCTGAAACACGAGTGATATTTACTTCAGTCTTTCTGTCTCCTCTGTCAGTCTCTCTTTCTTTTTTTTGGAAAAACAAAGATTCACCTGATTAGAGCACTCTGGGATAGCACTGCATTGGGGCCACATGATCACCATCAGGAGCAACCTCTGACCTCCTCTGCCTGCAGCTTTTACTTAACTCTGTAGTTTCTGGACGTTTGTGCAGTATTGAAAAGACAGGAAAAAAGAAACAAACATGGTTATAACCTGTTGCTAAAACTAAAACCAAGGAAATGTACCTCTTTCTTCAGAATTAAAACTAAAATCTTAAATAAAACAGAAAACTTGATGATGAATTCATGTTTGCTGCCTTGGGTTTTTTTTTTTTAACTTGAGTTTGTAATTCCTGCATCTGGTAAAACTATGTCATTGGTCGTTTGGTATTTTCCTTTTTGTCTGAACTGGAGCTACTTTGGTGGGTTGCTTTGCATGGTGACTTCTGTATTGAGGGGTGGGAAAAGCACGCAGACTTTGTATTTTTAAAGGGATTCTGTCTTTACTGATGGCTGTAGCTAGAGGCTGCCCGCCTCTAATCTCTGGTGCTCTCCTTTGCGATCTGAAGCATGAAATGCTTGTTTGTGCTTCCTGAATTAAATGCCATGGCGCCTGGGACAGACGGCAGGCGATAATGTGTCTGGGGGTGGTGTGGCAGAGGGTTCTGGTTACAACTCCCTGTTTCCCTCAGCATCCTCACTTAAAGGCATCAAATACCGTCACTGCACAACGGGGGACGGAGAGCTCTTAACACCCAGAAGGTCTCTAACAAGCCTCCGGCCAGAGATGCTTAAAACCAGCAACCTGGTGACTGGGGTGCTGGGTTGGTGTAGCTCGTACGGGTGGCAGAGAGCCTGACATCCTAGAGGTGTGTGCAGGAGGATTCTTCACCTGGCTTGAGCTGCTTAGTTCGGCTGGCTTCCCCCCTAAAATGTTTGCTGCTGGCAGGGGCAAGGCAGGGAGTTCACAGGGCTGAGCTTGGGCACCTCCTAGGGTGCTAGGGACTGACTTTTCATGGTGTGGGGAGTGGGAGTAAGTCCTGAGTGGGGCTCTGGGCAGGGGAGCCAGGCGTTAAATCAGCATAAAGGGACTCGGTGCCCTGCTTCGTACCTCAGTGCTTGTTGGCGATTGTCAGCCTTTCCTCCTGTGCCCCCGCTGCCGTGTAGCGCTGC